GGGGCTGACTCAGCTCTGAGCAGCTGATTCACAGGGCTGAGGAGGGTGCTGGGACCTCCACCCTCCTGGCTGGGGCTTGTTCTGTCCATCATCCCCCCAGTGTTTTTGGGGGGCTGCCCAGGTGGGCTCTGTGGGCTGCTGGGGCTGGGGGAGATGGTGGGGAAGGATTTTATCTTCATCAGGCAGATGTGGGCTCTGGGCAGACTCCCACAGCCAGGGATGCAGTGTGCCACAAACCATCCCCACCAGCTGCACTGGGAACTGGCTCCACATCCCAGAGAGGGCTCTGGGAGGAACTCCTGGGGCAGCTCACCCTGACCTGGCCACCCCTGCTGCCAGGGGAGCACAGAGATCATGTGGCACTCAAAAAGAGATGCTCCTGCCTGGGACCTGCTTCTCCCTCCCCTCTCTGCTCTGTCAAACAGCAGCTGAAGCCAGCAGTGCATCCCTGGGTGGCACCAGCTCCCAGCTGCCTTTGATTCACCAGCTGGCACAGGCAGGGTGGCAGAGGGAGGCACATCCATCCCATTTCTCCAGGGTGGGTTTACCTGGCTCTGCTGTGTGGCTGCCAGTCGTCTGCCTGCCAAATATTCCCCACCAGCCTGCAGACTTGAAAGCCAGAGGAGAGCCTGTGCTGCCATAATTGACAGGTCACAAGCCCTGGGACTTCCCTGAATTAATTTGTGACAAGTGCAGTTGCTGGGGATCTCTGTTAGAGTAGAGAAAGGCAACAAACTGAGGCACAGGCCTGTGAATCCATCCTGGGCTTGGAAGGTGGCTGGGATAGTGGCTCTGGGACAGGCTGATTCCCTTGGGAATCACTGATTCCCCAGTGATCCCAGCCAGTTCTGCTGTGCTCCAGAGCTGATCAAGTCCAGGTCCCCCATCACCCCCAGACCCTCCTGAGCTTGTCCCCTTACTGAGATGGTTCAGTCCCACAGCTCTGTGCCTCAGTTTCTCTTTGCACACAGGGGTGTAACAGCCCAGGGGGGATTCAGCCCAGGAGCCCTTCACTCCACAGCAGGGCCATGGTGCCAGTTCCATCCAGTTCTCTGCTTGCTGGGGCCCAGGGGAAGGAAGGACAGACATTTGGGAGTTGCAGGGACATGTCCCACCCACTCCAGCTCTGGAATCCAGGCTCTGTTGCAGCTGGGATGTGTTTATTTGGAGCCATGGAGCTTTCCTTTGGAGAGATAATGCTGAAGGGATATCCATAAACTGCAGAGCTAAACAAGAGTGTTCTGGCCTTCATCATCCCTGCAAGGGCTCTCTCCCGGCCAGCAGCTGTCCCACCAGCCACCACTGCAGATCTTCCTGCCTGTGACCCTTGCTGGTGTGAAATAGGGGTGGCTGCAGAGCCCTGGCTCTGGGGGTTGTGCTGGGGCAGTGCAGGAGGAGCTTGCTTCCCAATTAAATCATGGAAAAACATCCTCCTTGCATGGGCAGGGTCAGCCCTGCACAGTGCTTGGGAGGCTGGCCATGTCCTGCCCCTTGTGCCAGCCCAGCTCCTGTGCCAGGCCAGGTGTGTTGTGCCTTTGTGTGCCCAAATCCTCTTGGTTCAGCCGTGCTGGTGCCCTCTGGAATTGTGTCCTGTCCTGTCCTGTCCTGTGTGTGAGTGACACAGCCCCATGTCCCCAGTGCCACCTGAGCCCTGTGCTTGTCCCTCCACAGCTCAACTCGCCCATGAACTCCGTCACCAGCACAGAAGACATCAAGCCACCCCTGGGGCTCAATGGAGTCCTCAAAGTGCCAGCACACCCCTCAGGAACGATGGCCTCCTTCACCAAGCACATATGTGCCATCTGCGGGGACAGATCTTCGGGTGAGGCTGGCAGGGGCTCAGGGCAGGGGCTGGGGTGTGGCAGAGGGCTGGCATTGGCTCCCAGGCTCCTGACAGCACCTTTGAGTGCTCTCTCAAAGGGACAGCACCTGCCTGTGCCTCCCAGCAGGGGATGAAGAGCCAAGCCAGGAGATCCCAGGGCCCTGTTCAGCAGTGGGGTCCCATCTCACCCTACTGGCAAACATCAGGGGCATCCTCCCTCTCCCCATCCTTTGATCCGCACTGGTGCTGTCACTTGGTGCTCTTGAGATGGAGTTTCTCCACTCCTGGGAGATAAAGATGGGCTAATTCCCTTTATTCTCCTGCTTTTCTCAAAGCTCCCTCCTCCAGGAGAGCTCTGGTTGCCTGGTTTGTGAGCCCTTGGGGACCCCTCCTGGGATCCAGGCTGGAAGTGGAGGGTGGGAACGTGGTACAGGGCAGGCTGAGTTGTGTGTCTGCTGTGGGGGGTTCAGAGAGCTCACAGAGATTCAGGGGGACACCCCTGTACAGGTCCATTAATTAATTTCTGAATGGTGGTGGAAGTCCCCAGGGAGCACGTACAGTGTGAGGACTCTGTTAATTCATCTTGATTAACATTATCACAATGAACTCATAGTGATCAGAACATTCATAATAATCAAAACAAATGTTCTGCACTGCCCCAACTCTGCTGCATGGCCCAGAAATGGCCTTTCCATGGGTGGAAGGCTGGATGAGACCCATGGATGGCACCCTGATTCTGTGGAAGCCAAGCCACCACTTTCCACCTCCAAGAAACCTCTGCTTCCCCCAAAACTCAGCTGGGAGAGTCCCTGGGAAGATCTGCTGGCAAAGAAAGGATCTGGGACCACCTTTAAACTTCATTTTTCTCCCTCCCCCAGGTAAACATTACGGGGTTTACAGCTGTGAGGGCTGCAAAGGCTTCTTCAAGCGCACGGTGCGGAAGGACCTGACCTACACGTGCCGCGACAACAAGGACTGCCTGATCGACAAGCGCCAGCGCAACCGCTGCCAGTACTGCCGCTACCAGAAGTGTCTGGCCATGGGCATGAAGAGAGAAGGTAAGGCCAGCCTGCCCAGGGGGCTGCAGGGGGTTTAGAGGGCACCAAGAGGTGCTGTGAACCTTGCAGAAGGGTTCTGTCGCTCTGGTGACAAAATTCTCGTTTGCGGTTTGGTTTTGCGCCTCAGCCGCAGCGTCTCGTGGTCTCCAGAGCCTCTTCTTGCAGAGCCTCCATTCCCTGTGAGTGCCAGAGCAGTGTGTAGGTGATGGGTGGGTGTTGGGATCTTCATCTTGTCAGAGTGGCCCTGAGAAAAGTTAGAAAGTCTCTTTTCCCAGCCCGGTGCTTGAAGAAGGAGTCAGGGCTCTTCATTTCTCGGTCTCAAGGTTGTTTATTGCATCTTATCTATAAAAAGTTTTCTCCTGCCCTGCTGAGGTCCATCCAGCAGGACAGTTCCAGGCACTCTGCTTGCCCCCAGGGCAGTGTTATGTCTTTATACTAAAAACTACGTGTACAATGTTTACAATTACTTTCCAATATCACCTATGTTAGACAGTGAGCTTCTACTCTAAACCAATCTAAAAGTGCCAACATCACAGCAGAAGATGGAGGCCAAGGAGAAGAAGGAGAAAGGCTGGACATGCCCAGTTCCCTCCATCTTGCCCCCTGAACCCCCATACCAAAAACCCCAAAATCTACTTTTCCACCCTGTGGTAACTTCACTATTATTCTGCCTAAACTGTTGTGGCTTGCTGATCCTCATCTAAGGTTGGTAATTTGCTCCATGGGTCATAGTCAAACCCACAGGTGTTTTGGGCTCTGTGCCAGGGCTTCTGAGCCCCCTGGCAGGGCTTTGGGCCATCCTGGACAGCCAGAGGGATGTTCTAGGGACACCTTCAACTCCAGCCTGGCCTTGGTCACACTTCCAGGGATGAGCTTCCCTGGCCATCCTGTGCCAGTGCCTCAGCACCTACTCCAGCACTGAATTTTTTGTCTCATTGAGAAGAGGAAAGAGGTTTGGTCTCTTTAAGATAGCTCTTCCTTAGTGAAATTTAAATTTAGGATCTAAATTTTCCCGGCAGTGCCTCTTTTAAATGATCTTTTGAAATGCTGACTGTGTCTGTTCTAATCTAGCTGGCAGAGCAGGCTTTTAGCAGACAGGACGTGAGAGTGACCCCAGTTCTGGGCTGCTTTCTCCCCTTACATCTTCAGAGCCACACTTGCCTCCCTGACAGGCTGATAAAGGCAGCCCTGCTCTGGCCCTGGCCCACAGCTCCAGCCTGGGAGCCTTTGAAGAGCACTTAGGGCTGTCTGGAGTGTGGAATAAACGGGGCAGTGCTGGAGCTGCTCTGAGTGTTGGGCAAACCGTGCCACGCTCAGTTTATGGGGTTACCCGAGGACCAAAATCACCAAGTGTCACAGCTGTCTGTGCTGGAGGTGTGGGGGGATTGCCAGGGCACCCAGGGGACCTCCTTGGCCCTGCTGAGCTTAACCCTTCAGTGCTCAGAACAAATGTTCCTGCCCCAGCAGACCGTGGCATGCAGAGATTGAGGCATTCAGGGCAGGAATGGCGGCTGGCACTGCCCTGGGCAGTACTGGATCCCATGGGAGATGTGCAAAGGGATGAGGAAAATCTGATCCAAAACCTGAACCATGGCAGGCTCAGATGACCAAAAAGCAGCCAAGAATTCTCCTGTGTGTTCAATGAGAGAAATACAGAGCATCCCCTTCCCCTGGCACTGCATCCACTGACCCAGTTACCCCTCAGCCCCCCAGAACAAGGTGTGTAGGGCTGGGAGGAGCAGCAGGAATGCTGGAACTCTGCCACCCTGTGAGTAGGTACCTGCTCCCTGCCTGCCCTTAGTGGTGATTGCATGGGCAGCACCGCTAAAAATTACAGGTCCATTAATTAATTTCTAAATGGTGGTGGAAGTCCCCAGGGAGCACGTACAGTGTGAGGACTCTATTAATTCATCTTGATTAACATTATCACAATGAATAGCAAATGAATTCATAATGATCAGACAATTATTTAAAAGTGTGACAGATGGGATCGTGGTAACTCCAGGAGTGCGCTCAGGCAGTGCTGATGGATCTGGTGAGGGAAGGGCAGGAACTGGTGATTTGACAGTCATCATTTGATGATTTAGGCATAATCCCCATGCAGGGAAAGCTGGAATAACTCCCCTGTCTCTTGTTATAAACCTGAAAATTCAGTGTCTCACAGAAATGTCTCAGTTGTCCTAAAGCTGAAAGTCAGAAGTTGGGTCTTGCTGAGCTTTGGTTTTGAGCAGTTCTGGAATTTTACATGTGAAATCCACCTGGTTTGTCAAATAAAGGTCTGTTCCCACTGCACCCATCTCAGCTGACTGGAATTGGCCTCACACCAATCCTGCTCCCACCTCTATTTTGGGGAAGAGTTTTGGGCTAAATCCTGCATTGCTTAAGTATTCACATCATAGCTGGCTTTTTATTCTCTACCATAAACTCTTGTATCTTTTAAGTAACAGAGCCTGGGTTATGGGCCTCATTTCCCTAAAAAACATCTTGTTCTGGAGACCTAATTTATAGATGTGTAAAGGCACAGCAGATTCCTGCTGAGGAGTCTCTCTCCTGTAGCCCAGAGGTGCTGGGATTTGTTACAAGCACAGTGAAAGCCTCTAAAATCAATGCTGGAGCTGAGTGAGAGGCAGGGCTGGGCTGGGGAGTGATGCTGGGAGGAGGAGTGAGAGCCAAGGCTGTACTCCATTTAAAGAGGGTAAAAGGAAAGGGGTTATTGGGTGAGAATTCAGATTAGAGAAGGCAAAATCAATGTTTGGAAGGGTTTGATCCCAGCAGCTGAGGGGTCTGAGGTGAACATGGAGGGATGGACCTTGTGCTCATCAGAAGCAGCAGCAGGGGGACAGGGATCCTTCAGGGCTGCAAACCTTGGCTCAAAGAGGGGAAAGCCTGCAGGAGCAGGGGATTCCTCTGCTGTGTGCATCCCTTCTGGCTGTTCCCTGCTAGGAACACGTCAGAGAGATCCCAACATCCACAGTGAGTGAGCCCCACGCTCTCTGAGATGCTGCAGCCATAATAAATAAGCAACTGGGAACATTTTTTCCCCTATGAATTTCTGCCAGCTGTGGAATGCTTTGGTTTTTTGTGCTCTGTCTCCCACTAAATACAGGATAGTCAACAAAATTAAGATTACCATCAGGGATCTTGACTAATGCAGGGGTTATTATTGTGGGGGTGGCTGTTTGCACCCAGGAGCTGAACTCTCCCTGCTCAGTCTGTTCCTCATCAGGCTCTGAGGTGTCTGTGCACCAGCAGCCTTGGCTTTGAAAGGGGAAAACTGGGAATTGCCTCGGAATGAGGGAGGCAGAGCTCTTGTGAAGAGCTGGGAGTGAGCACTGGGGGGCTTGGGATGGGGGTGCTGTGTGTCAGGGGGTGACAGAGAGGTGACAGGGTCAGCAGGGGCGTGGTGAGCTTGGGGCTGTCCCGGCTGAGGAGAGCTGGCAGCGCCTCTGGGATCACACAGGGAGCAGGAAATACCAGTGAGGAGCCTTTCCCATGCTCCCGTGGCTGCCTCACAGGGAGCAGGGCTGGGAAACGGCTCCCAGAGCCTTCCCTGCATGTGAGGGGCTCCTGGGGAGAGCCAGGATGGGAGCAGGGATCCCAGAGCCTTCCCTGCATGTGAGGGGCTCCTGGGGAGAGCCAGGACCTGCTGGGCTGCCCAGGATGGGAGCAGGGATCCCAGAGCCTTCCCTGGAACATGAGGGGCTCCTGGGGAGAGCCAGGATGGGAGCAGGGATCCCAGAGCCTTCCCTGGATGTGAGGGGCTCCTGGGGATGCCAGGATGGGAGCAGGGATCCAAGAGCCTTCCCTGGAACATGAGGGGCTCCTGGGGATGCCAGGATGGGAGCAGGGATCCCAGAGCCTTCCCTGGAACATGAGGGGCTCCTGGAGATGCCAGGATGGGAGCAGGGATCCCAGAGCCTTTCCTGGATGTGAGGGGCTCCTGGGGATGCCAGGATGGGAGCAGGACTCCCAGAGCCTTCCCTGGATGTGAGGGGCTCCTGGGGATGCCAGGATGGGAGCAGGGATCCCAGAGCCTTCCCTGGATGTGAGGGGCTCCTGGAGAGAGCCAGGCTGGCTCTGCAGGACCTGCTGGGCTGCCCAGGATGGGAGCAGGGATCCGAGAGCCTTTTCTGGAACATGAGGGGCTCCTGGGGATGCCAGGATGGGAGTAGGGATCCCAGAGCCTTCCCTGGATGTGAAGGGCTCCTGGAGAGAGCCAGGACCCGCTGGGTCCCACGTG